CAGCTCAGTGTCAGATATGGATAGACACAGGTAACTTTACTAAAATGTATGGAGTTACTTGAACGGGGGATAATGTGAAAATCCAAACCCACCTCACCACTGTATCTAACTTACAGAATTATTTTATTTATTTATTTAGAATAGTTCTATGCCGCCCCATTCTCAAAAAGCCTCGGGGCGGCTTACAAAATAAACAATCATATAATTAACCTAAAAGACCGGAAACATCTTGGCACAAGCATAAAACCCAATACATATAATCAATAATTAACAATTAAAAGAACTTTTAAATAAAATGGTCTTGGCCTGGCGCCGAAAAATAAATAACAACGGGGCCAGGCGGACCTCTGTGGGGAGTGCATTTCATAGGTGGGGTGCCACCGCAGAGAAGACCCTCCTCTGGGTACTCACCCTCCTAATATCTTTCACGGACGGTTCCCAGAGAAGGGCCTCTGCCGCTGACCTCAAGGGGTGGGAGGGCATATATGGATGCAAGCGCTCCTTTGGATAACCAGGTCCCAAGCCGTTGAGGGCTTTATAGGTGATAACCAGCACCTTGAATCGGGCCCGGACTTCAATGGGAAGCCAGTGAAGCTGATGGAGAACTGGGGTTCTATGAGAACAACGCCCAGTCCCCATCAGCAACCTGGCAGCTCTGTTTTGCACCATCTGAAGTATCCAGACTGTCTTCAAGGGCAGCCCCACGTAGAGTGCGTTACAGAAGTCTAATCGGGAAGTTACCAATGCATGTGTCACTGTTGCCAGGCAATCGTTCTCCAGGTAGGGACGCAGCTGATGGATCAGCCGAAGCTGAAGGAAAGTGCTCCTTGCCACCGCCGTCACCTGAGCTTCTAATGACAGCTCTGGGTCGAGGAGCACTCCCAAGCTGCGAACCCTATTCCTAAGAGTGAGTGCAACTCCATTCAGGACAAGGTCCAGGTCTCCTACCCTGACGCCCAAACCACCTACCAACAGGACCTCCGTCTTGTCTGAATTGAGCTTCAGTTTATTGGCCCTCATCCAGTCCATTACCTCGGCCAGGCACTGGTTCAGCACAGCCACTGCCTCACCTGGATTAGTTGAAAACGAGAGGTAGAGCTGGGTATCATCAGCGTACTGATAATTCTGCAGCCCACACCTCCTAATGACCTCTCCCAGCGGTTTCATGTAGATGTTGAATAGCAAGGGGGACAAAATGGACCCCTGCGGAACTCCATGGCATAACTGCCATGGTGCAGAGCCATAGTCCCCCAGCACCACCTTCTGGAATCGGCTATTGAGATAGGAGCGGAACCACTGCAAAGCAGTGCCTCCAACTCCTAATCCCGCTAGCCTATCCAGAAGGATACCATGGTCGATGGTATCAAAAGTTGCTGAGAGGTCCAGGAGAACCAACAGGGACGCACTCCCCCTCTCTCTCTCCCTGCACAGGTCATCATACAGGGCGACCAAGGCAGATTCAGTACCATACCCGGGTATGAAGCCGGACTGAAATGGGTCCAGATAACCAGTCTCATCCAAGAGTGCTCAGAGTTGTCCTGCCACCACCCGTTCTAACACCTTGCCCAAGAACGGGATGTTGGCCACCAGTCTATAATTGGCAGCCATCTCTGGATCCAGGGATGCCTTCTTTAGGACTGGCCGGACTACCACCTCCTTTAAAAGGGGTTGACAACCTCCAGGATCCAGGCCCCTATCCCGTCCTTGGCTTTGTTAAGTAGCCAAGATGGGCAAGGGTCCAGTAAGCAGGTGGTGGGACGTACTTGTCCAAGCACCTTGTCCACATCATCAGGACGCAACAACTGAAACTCATCCATCAATTTTGGACCTGATGGCAACTTTGGCACCTCCCCAGAAGGTTCTGAGTCACTAGTGGAATCCAGCTCGTGACGAATCTGAGCGATTTTCTCCTTGAAATGCTTGGCAAAGTCATCACAGTGGGCCGTCAAGGGTGGCACAAGATCTTTCTTGGGGTCTGGGTGAACCAGCCCCTGTACCACCCGAAAGAGCTCCGCTGGACCGCATTGTGAGGAGGCAATGGAAGCGGAGAATAATTTCTTTTTCGCCATCCTCACCGCCACAGCATAGGCCCGATAATGGGCTCTTAAGTGTGTTCAGTCAGATTCATCCTGTGATTTCCTCCACCTACACTCTAGACGTCTCCCAACCCGCTTCATCTCCCGCAATTCAGGTGTATACCAGGGGGATGAACGGGCTCTGCCAGGTGGGAGAGGATGCTTAGGAGCGATCGTGTCAATAGCCCTGGTCATTTCCCCATTCCACAGTTCGACCAAGGCATCGACAGGAGCACCAGCCTTATCAACCGGGAATTCCCCCAGGGCCTTCAGGAATCTATCCAGATCCATCCAGCTCCGGTGGCGGACCAACACAATCGGGTCCGCACCCTGACAGAGGGAAAGGTCGCTCTCGAGCTCAAACCTCACGAGGAAGTGATCTGACCATGACAGGAGTGTCAGACACAAGTTCCTCACCCTCAGATCCCCCTCTTCCTGCCCTGTCAAGAAAACCAGGTCCAGAGTGTGTCCACATTTGTGGGTTGGGCCAGTGACATGTTGAGACAGCCCCATGGCCATCATGGAGGCCATGAAGTCCTGAGCCACCCCGGTCAGAACCGTCTTGGCGTGGAGATTGAAGTCCCCCAGGACCAGCATCCTGGGAGTCTTCAACACCAAATCCAAGACAATCTCCATCAGCTCAGGTAGGGAGTCTGTTGGGCAAAAGGGTGCATGGTACACCAACAAAATCCCCAATCTGGCTCAGTCACCCAACACCAAGTAGAGGCACTCTAGACCCGGCCTCAAGAGAACAGGAAGCCCCGTGAGGGAAATAGAGGCTCGGTAAACCAAAGCGACCCCCCTCCCCTCCCCTCCAGGCAAGGTCGGTGCTGGACCTGATACCCGGGTGGGCACAGATGAGAGAGGGAGACATCCCCCCCTCCCACCCAGGTCTCTGTAATGCAAGCCAGGTCGGCCCCCTCATTCATGATCAGATCATGGATGAGTGATGACTTATTATGGACCAACCTGGCATTAAGCAACAGCACCAACAGGCCCAGGGGGTGGTTGACAAGCCTACCTGGAACCCTCCGGCTGGGGGAATAACCAGAAAGAGGAACAGGTGTTAACCATCTGTCCCTCCTATGCGGACTCATTAAACCCCCAATGCCATAACGTCCATTGCCCGTAACCACCCCAATGCCCATGCGCTCCTCAGGCAACCCCATAGTCAAAGCTGAAGATGAATCCATTAAAATAAACTAAAAACACATTAAAAACACTTAAAAACACCCCCACAATCCCCCCAACCCAATTAATCATGGATTACATTGCAGGGTACCATAAGCAACTTTCTCAGTCACTTTGCATTGCAATATAGAAATTACCTGCAACAAGGTTGCATAAAATCCCAAACCTGGACACCTGTCATCTTATTTCTTTGCTCTTTCTGCCAAACCTGAAAATGGGATAATTTCATTGCTAAAGGCTAGGCTCAGAGATGCCTCATGCCCATTTGACAATCTTCTGCAGCCAACTGCAAGTAAAGGACTTTTGCTTATGTGGACTATTGAGTATTCCACTTTCAAAGCCTTCAGAGCCTGGAGGAATAGCAGCTATGGCACGATGTGTCGACATTGGGGAGGGGGGCAGTAGATTTGACAATCCACTCATTTGTGAGGGGCACCAGCAAACCTGCACTCATGCAGTGTGAGTGTAGCATGGAAGCAGGGTGAGGCATGACATCCAGTACAGTCCATCCATGCATGCTATTATACATATAAGTGTCATTTACCTTTTCTTGGCCCCAGGGAGGAGATAATTTAGGAAGTGATACTGCTTCATTTCATGTTTCCCTACAATTATATTTTCCCTCTTCCTTGTGGATTGTCCCATTTTGCTTCCAAAGCACAAATCCGCTATTTGTGGATTTGAGCTCATTATTACAGGGAACAGGTGCTATCAAATACAAAATCTTCTTGATTTCTACACGTTGAGGATGTTCAACAGGGCACAATACCCTCTATAATCCCATATCCAGCTTCCCACTGAAGCAGATTTCCTTTCCACCCTTCTTTCTTGATTCCCTTTGAAACATTATCACTCCTCCCTCTCCTGACTCAGTGGAGCAGTTGATATGTGCAAAACAAGCCAGCATAACTTGTTGTGAGTTACAATGTATGGCAGACTCACTTTGCATAATCATTGGTCAAGGCTTATTGTGTCATCTGAACCAGGCAGCATGGCTTATTGGAGAGTTAAATAGCCATACAAGTCATGTCATTCAGCTTCAGATAACATGGCAAGCCGCAGCAAAGAACCACATCTAGCATGCACTGCAGTTCACAATCTACCATGTTAAAGCTATTGTGGCTTGTTTTGATCAGGCAAACTGGATCAAGAGCTCCTTCTCAAATACAGTGCACAGTCTTCAACACACTCATATTTCTGGTCATACTCTTCTATCCTACCCCGCATCTTAATCTAGTAGTTTTCCCATCCATGTCCTCAGCCCCATTTTCAACTTCCCTCCCTGCACACATGGGTTGGATTTGCACAACAAACAGCACTCTCTTGCTGATTAGTCCATTGTGACCATGAGGCAGATTCTCCCTCCCAAGTATACCTGCATGCCTGTGTTGCTTTTCCTCAGTTCCAGCCCACCCCATCACCAATTTTATTAAATGAAAACAGTTTCCTTGCCATTTCCATTTCTCCCTTCTTGCATTTTCATGCTGTTTTCATTTCTTAGGATAAACTGGAAAATGAACATATTGTTCAGCCAATAAGAAAAAAAAGGGTAATGATGCATCTATTGCTAGGGGACAGTAGACATCAAAGGCTGGAAATGCTGACTCATGGGGAACTCTATGTTTCCATATCAACAATGGTAAAAAAGGCAATCAGATGACCAGAGAAGCCACAACATGGAAATGCTAGAACAGAAAAGACCACTGATTCTCAGTTTCAGAAAACCAGTCCTACCATGTGGGAATTCTAGAGCGAGGTCCAGATGATACAACAGGTCCAGATGACACAAAGGGTGTCAGCAATGAAAATAAAGTTGAGTGTGCTTCTAAAGAAATAAAGTTATACAAATACTTTAGTTCCTCACTGAAATGGGAAAATAAGTGTCACACAGATTCAACTTAAATTATATTTAAATGTATTTTGTACTATTATTAAAAATAATATGAACATTTTATGTGCAGGAGCTGCAGTAGCATTTTACAAGGGGCACACTATAGTTCAGTTACCAAGAACAGATATTCATAGCAATATTGAACAGTCCAAAGATATTGAGGATTCATTACCATACTATACAGTCCTAAACTCACAGAAATTAAAAATTGATGTACTTTTATTCTTCAGACACATACAGCATGAGAACTTCATATGTATCACTTAAATATGTTGTTACTATGTAATCACAGAAGTTGTGGCAGCCAAGATGCATGTACTTTTAAGCTCACATAATATTGTATCTACATATGTAGATCGGAGGACAACTCTTGCATCTACAAAAACCCCCTATCCCAATGTGATACAAGCATCAGTCCTTAAACTGCTAAAGTTTAACTTACTTTCCTCACAGACTTGAAAAATCAAAAACGTCTCCACAAGCATTTAAGCACAGGACAATTCAGGAGAAACAGGTCATACACAGGAAAATGATATGTCAGAACTAGCTATTTAATACTAGGCAGAAATCTATGCAATTGTTTTATTTACTTTAACCTACAGTTGGAAGTATAATACATTATTAGGAAAGCAACTTATAATTAAAGGCTCAGTCCTATGGGTTGTACCCTCAGTGACTGTAAAACCCTGAACTCATAGGGTTACATTCATTCCCTAAGAGTGGGAGGAGCAGAGAAGACAAATTTAACCTTCCCATCCTTGTATCCTGCATTTTTGCAGGGGAGTTTCAGGCATTTCAAAGGTATAACAAAGGAAACTTCAGCACAGCTCATATCATGGCCTCTCCAGTTTCCTCTCCCACATGCCAAGATGCCTCCTTTTCCTTCCCGTCCAAGGCCAATGTCAAAGGACACCCAGCACAGTTCTTTCCACACCAACTGCAAGGGGAGAAAGCAGAGGGGCCCATTCTTTGCTTCTCCAGTCTGAGGTCAGGGCACTGTTTCCAAACCTGAATCATGGAATCCAAATGGTCTCATGGTCCCTCAGACATCACCTAACAGCCATAAGGTTGCTTGCTTAATCAATCAAATATTAGTTTCAAAAATGCTTGAATCAAACAGGTTTTTAACATTTCTTCAAATATTTAAGCACCTACATACAACTTAGTGATCATTTTATAATTCCACATGAGTTTATAGAATATCTGTAAACTAATAAACTATAACTGGCCATTAATATGGATCTCTTTTCTAAATAGTTCTAGCAGTATACACTAAACTCTTGTCCTGCATTCTAAAACCTTGTTTTTAAATCCCATTATGGTATCACTTAGAAAGCCAGGGAAAAACAGCTCTACTGTAAACTTCATTAATTGGAGATTTCCTGAACATTTTCATTATATTTTTGCTTAGGATTATGAATAACAAGCTACTTAGGCACCAATACTCAGTCTTAACAACTTAGTTCCACTGGGTTCAATAGTCCCAAGTAGCCTTAACTAAAAATATTCTGACTTTTAAGAATAAATTAGACAGAAAAGCATCAGGGGAGGGGGGGAATTAAATGGGTAAATAAAAATATCCATGTCCTGTGGCATCTATACTTGAAAATAACTGCAGGTATTCAGGCTTATTTCACTGGTGTGATGGGCTATTAGGCATATCACTGTTTTTTCTTCTATGTGCTAATGTTTAGAAGATATGCCTCTCTGAGCCTCTTAACCAAAAAAAGTTTACTTTAGTGCCCACATACCATGTCCCATGTCTCATACCTTTCTTGAAACCAGCAATGGGGATAACTACAATACCCACAATGAACATCTCAATGATACTGTAAGCTCCTGGTTTTACTGGGGGGGGAAAACCCTGTAATACAAACTAAAAAACAGAACCAATATGCATGAGCCCCATTCATATTTCAGGTTTCAAAGAACATTCCCTAGATGTACGCAAGGCCTGTTTGTCAAGAAATACTGTATGGAATCACTGCAGAGTAAAATGACTGTAACAAATTAAAGTTGCATTGAAAGTGACTACATCCCAAAAGCTCTGGCATCCTCAGCACTGTTTCTTGATTTCAGAATTAAGTCTTCATTCCATCAAAAGCTGTACACTATCAGTCTGTTTCTGTGGTTGTTGCTGCTGGTCATATTTCCTTGCTAGAAAAAAATGATTGAGATATATTACACTACTATCCCAAACATACTTAATACAAAATAAGCTCCAGTGAACCATGTGTGACTTACTCTGAAATTAACATGGATAGGCCTGCTATCTATTACCAGATTTTTTTTCTGATCATATGGTACCTACTTGGTACCATATTATCAGAAAAATAATATGGCACCAACTTCAAGCCTATATTTATCCGCAAGATAAACTAAAATACAAGCGTAACTATTTTCTATGTGTACATTTTAGCAGCAAAATTTGCCTTAGATGACAAGTGGTAAATGTTCCCTTTTAATAGTAACAGCAACTCTTAGCACACTATTTAGTACTTGTAGTAACAATCCTTGCCTCTGTACATTTCTTGCCTTCTGTTGGATGTCCCATATTTTGGCTGTCCAATGTAACAGCCACATTGGATTATAATTATAAATTATAAATGTAGCCAAACATCTCTGGGTGCTTCACAACATTTAAGTCACCCATCCATATTTCAACCAGGCCCAACCCTGCTTACCTTCCAAGATTAGGCAGGATCAAGCACTTCAAGCTTATAAAGGGAAACATCATAATCTTGCATCCTGAACCTTATAAAGGGACTTTGACATGCTCTGGTGCAAAGCTTTAAAGCTTTAAGCCCTGGATCATAGAGAAATGTGGAGGGGTGACCATTTCTGGTCGAAAAAGACTATGTCTTGTGCCAAAATCTATATATTTATTGATTGATATCCTTTCCATCAAAAACTGGTGCTCAGGATTACTAACAAAAAAGAAAATGGGAACATGTTCAGAGCCTACTACAAATTTTGGCAAAGTACATGTCAAGATTCAACAGCACAACAATTCGAGGCACAACATCTAATTAAATTTATTACCCATGTTATTTCTATACCACCCCACAGTCAAAGCTCTCTGTTATGAACATACTACACTACCTTATCTGTGATATTCCACAATACTACAATTTTGAATTGTTCATTCCTCCTGTAACTCTTTATAATATGCAAGATGAGAAAGGAGCTACACTTTTTTAAACATAGAAGTATTTGGAGCATTTTTCCTGTGATGAGTTTCAAAATACCACAATTTTTTTTGCTAGTACCACAATATGCAGTACCTATTTCAGACACAGCTATTATCAAGATTCTAATTGGAGTCTATATTTGAGATATATTCAGGTACTAAACTGCATTTAAAATGGGATATACACCTTGCCAAGAATGATGCCGAATTTAGTCCAGCATTCTGTTTCTACACAGGCCAGATAGGTAGATTGGAAAGTCTATGACATGACATGAAGATAATAAGACCCTCCAAACTTGTAGGTTGCTGAGCCTATTTCCCATATGAGGTAACTATTGAAAGTTAAATCTATTGAAAATGTATTGGTCTCATCACTATTTAAGTACTCTTCCCAGTTTGTATGGGTAAGAAACCAGGGCAGGGTGAATAATTTAAAATGATAGATCTCTAGTCCAAGGAAGAATTAAACCTAATATTAATAAAGTAAAACTGAGCACTGCTGACTGGAAGGATTCTGGAAACTAATAAGCCAGGGTCACCCCTGTGTCTTTAAATAAGCAGATGTTACTAAGTAAGAATGGCAGTTTCTATCTTGATCAAGATGGTATGCTGGATAGTATATTCTCTACCAATATTTAGACATTTTTCATGAAATGTCCCATGTAGGAGGGAGAAAATCCTGTGCAGGGGAGAGTTAATAACAGATTTCATTAATAACAGATTTCTTCCCACACTGGTATCAGTCTGTTTAATGGATGTATCTTATGTTACTAAAAAGGTTAATAATTTGTATGACTCTAATGCAAATAAGAAAAATGCTAAGTGAAGATATTGCATAAATTGTATTCAGTTCTATTTGTTTTAATTGTTTCTGTTCTTGTTCTTATTAATTTGCTGGACTGTGACTGTAATAAATGAAGCAAAACCCTCCTGCTTGTAATCCCATCATACTGAAACTGAAGGTAACTAGCCATCATGACTAGTAGCCAACTGGTAGCCCCATCCCTCATGAAATTACCCAATTCCTTTTAAAAGTCACTGAAATTAGTGATAATCACTACATCTAGTGAATTCCATACTGAATTTCATAGTCCATACACTATATGAAATACATTTTATCTGCTCTGAATCTCCCACTAGACAGCTTTATGGGATGACTCCTGATTCTAATAGTATGGAAAAGACTTCGCTATCTACTTTCTCCACACCATGCATTACTTCTATCATGACCTCCCTTACTTGCCTTTTTTCTCAACTAGACATTATAATCTTCCTTCACAGGAAAATTGCTCCAGCCTTTTGATCACTTTAGTTGCCCTTTTTTGCACTTTTCCTAACTCTACACTATCTCCTTTGATATGCAGTGACCAGAACAGAATATAGTATTCCAAGTGTGGTCACGTCATAGATTGGTGTAATGGAATTATGATACTGGCAGTTTAATTTTTTTATAAGCTTGAAAATATATTTACCAATTGAATACATCTCTAACTGCTGTCGTAGACGAACTTTTTTCATACTGTCATAAAAATTTGGTTCAGCTGGTATCTCTACAGTTGGAGGTAGTGCAAAAATCCTCATGATCTTCCTTTTATTTCTGAAACACAAAAAATTAAGATAAACAAAAATAATCTATCAACAGATGTATTATTTCCACTACTTCACTTACAAGCAGTCACCAGTGAATGAGGGCCCAATCTGCAGGAAAAGGGAATTGGGATGTTCTACCAACATATTAAGGCGCATAGCACAAAGATTGTGAGCCGCCCCGAGGGGTTGTGAGCTGCCCCGAGGCTTCGGCGAATGGGGCAGCATAGAAGTTCCCCAAATAAATAAATAAATAAATAAATTCCCCTTCATGGACTGCCTTGTTGTGGTGAAGGGGCTTCTGTAGCTCAATGAAGCTATGAGCTACGCTCTGCAGGGGCACCCAAGATGGACAGGTCATAGCAGAGAGATCTGACAAAAGCCGATCCACTAGAGAAGGAAATGGCAACCCACTCCAGTATCCTTGCCATGAAAACCCCATGTTGTTGTTGTTAGTCACAAAGTTGCATCTGACCCATTGAGACCTCATGGACAACATTCTTCCAGGCCTTCCTGTCCACCATCATCCCCCGGAATCCACTTAAGCGCACACCAACTGCTTCAGTGACTCCATCTAGCCACCTCATCCTCTGCCGTCCCTTTCTTTGGCCAGTTCTCTCTGCTTCTTGACACACTTATAGGTTTCTCAAGAGACAAATTAGATGGTCTGGTACTCCCATCTCTTTAAGAACTTGTCACAATTTGTTGTCATCCACACAATCAAAGGCTTTAGCATAGTCAATGAAGCAGATGTTTTTCCGGAACTCCCTAGCCTTCTCCATGATCCAGTGTATGTTGGCAATTTGATGTCTAGTTCCTCTCCCTCTTGCCTGTACTTCTGGTAGTTCTCGGTCCACATACTGCTGGAGCCTAGCTTGTAGGATTTTGAGCATAACTTTGCTGGCATGTGAAATGAGTGCAATGGTGCGGTAGTTTGAACATTCTTTCGCATTGCCCTTCTTTGGGATCAGAATGTAAACTGACCTTTTCCAATCCTGTGGCCACTGTTGAGTTTTCCAAGTTTGCTGGCATATTGAGTGTAGCACTTTTACTGCATCGTCTTTTAAGATTTTGAATAGCTCAGCTGGAATATTGTCTCCTCCACTAGCTTTGTTGTTGCTCAGACTTCCTAAGGCCCATTTGACTTCACATTCCAGGATGTCTGGCTTGAGGTCAGTGACCACCCCTTCGTGGTTATCAGGGACGTTAAGCTCTTTCTTGTATCGTTCTTCTGTGTAATCTTGCCACCTCTTCTTAATCTCTTCTGCCTCTGTTAGGTCCCTGCCATTTTGGTCCTTTATCATGCCCATCTTTGCATGAAACGTTCCCTTCGTATCTCCAGTTTTCTTGAAGAGATCTCTGGTCCTCCCTATTCTATTGTTTTCTTCTATTTCTTTGCATTGTTCATTTAAGAAGGCATTCTTATTTCTTCTAGCTATTCCCTGGAATTCTGCATTCAGTTGGGTGTATTCGTATCTATCTCTTTCTCCCTTGCCTTTCACTTCCCTTCTTTCCCTAGCTATTTGTAAAGCTTCCTCAGCCATTTTGCTTTCTTGCATTTCTTTTTCTTTGGGATGGTTTTAGTTGCTACCTCTTGTACAGTGTTGCGAATCTCTGTCCATAGTTCTTCAGGTACTCTGTCTATCAGATCTAATTGTTTAAATCTATTTGTCACCTCTACAGTATATTCATCAGGGATATGATTTAGGTCATACCTAGTGCTTTTCCCTACTTTCTTCAATTTAAGCCTAAATTTTGCAAAAAGAAGCTCATGATCTGAGCCACAGTCGGCTCCTGGTCTAGTTTTTACTGACTGTATAGAGCTTCTCCAACTTTGGCTGCAGAGTACATAGTCAATCTGACTTCTGTGTTGACCGTCTGGTGATGTCCATGCGTAGAGTCATCTCTTGGGTTGTTGGAAAAGAGTGTTTGTTATGACCATTGTATTCTCTTGACAAAATTCTCACAGCCTGTGCCCTGCTTCATTTTGTACTCCAAGGCCAAATTTGCCTGTTGTTCCGGTTATCTTTTGACCTCCTACTTTAGCATTCCAATCCTCCATGATGATAAGAATATCATTATTTGGTGTTAATTCTAGGTGTTGTAGGCCTTCATAGAACTGGTCAACTTCAGCCTCTTCAGCACCAGTGGTTGGGGCATAGACTTGGACTACTGTGATGTTGAATGGTTTGCCTTGGATTTGAACTGAGATCATTCTGGAGACTGTATCCCCAGTACTGCTGTTCCTACTCTTTTATTTACTATGAAGGCCACTTCATTTCTTCTGAGGGATTCTTGCCCGCAGTAGTATACCTGATGGTCATCTGAATTAAATTCACCCATTCCTGTCCATTTTAGTTCTCCGATTCCTAAGATGTTGATGTTCAGTCTTGTCATCTCTTGTTTGACTACATCTAGCTTGCCTTGATTCATGGATCTTACATTCCAGGTTCCTATGAAGTATAGATCTTTATAGCATCGAACTCTCCTTTCACCACCAGATACATCTGCAACTGAGTGTCCTTTCAGCTTTGACCCAGTCACTTCATTCTTTCTGGTGCTACTAGTACTAGTCCTCTGCTCTTCCCCAGTAGCATATTGGACACCTTCCAACCTGAGGGGCTCATCTTCCGGCGTCATATCTTTTTGCCTTTTGGTACTTTTGGTACTGTCCATGGGGTTTTCATGGCAAAGGTACTGGAGTGGGTTGCCATTTCCTTTTCCAGTGGATCACATTTTGTCAGAGCTCTCTGCTATGACCTGTCCGTCCTGGGTGCCCCTGCAGGGCATAGCTCATAGCTTCATTGAGCTATGCAAGCCCCTTCACCATGACAAGGCAGTGATCATGAAGGAGGAAAACCCCATGGACAGTACCAAAAGGCAAAAAGAAATGATGCTGGAAGATGAGCCCCTCAGGTTGGAATGTGTCGAATGTGCTAATGGGGAAGACCGGAGGGCCAGTACTAATAGCACCAGAAATGAAGTGACTGGGTCAAAGCCAAAAGGAGACTCAGTTGTGGATGCACAGTAGTACCTTGGCTAATGAATGTAATCCATTCCAAGACTCTGGTCGTGACCCAAATTGGTTGTGAGCCAAATCAAATTTCCCCATAAGGTTCAATGTAAATAAGGTTAATCTGTCTGTAACTATTTTTTTTTTAATCACAAACATTTGAAATGGGTGCACTGGGAGAGGGGCGGGCGTGATCATGGGTGCACTTGGGGGGAGGCAGGCGTGATCACAGGTGCGCTGAAGGAAAGGCGGGCACAATTGTGGGTGTGTTCATGGGGAGACGGGCGTGATCATAGGCATACTCAGTGGGGGAGGAGATGGGTGCGATTGTCACCCAACGCGGAGTTCGTGACCTGAGGCAAAATTTTTCAGGATGTTCTGTTCACGATCCGATTTGGTTGTGAATTGAGGCATTCGTGAGCTGAGTTACCACTGTATCTGGTGGTGAAAGGAAAGTCTGATGCTGTAAAATCTATACTCCATAGGAACCTGGAATGTAAGATCTATGAATCAAGGTTAGCTGGACGTGGTGAAACATGAGATGAAAAGATTGAATATCAACATCTTAGGAATCAGTGGACTAAAATGGACGGGAATGGGTGAATTTAATTTGGACAACCATGAGGTATACTACTGTGGGCAAGAAACCCTCAGAGGAAATGGAGTGGCCTTCATAGTCAATAAAAGAGTAGGAAAAGCAATACTGGGATACAATCTCCAAAATGACAGAATGACGAGCCCAATGTGTGGAAGCTTGGGGATGAAGCCAGAATTCAAAGGTAGAAGCTGGATGCACAGTACCTCTCCACATGGAAGCTAGCTGCTGAAGCAGGGGAAGGTGTTATGCTATGATGTGGATGCATTTACAGTAACGCTATGAATGTGCACTCTCTACTGCTTGAGTGTCACTGAAAGTAGTTACTGAAGTTTTTCACAGGCACTGCATCTGTTTTCTGAAACCTTCAAGAACAAGACCTGACATACCATAATACATCAGTATCTAGGCTTGGAAAACAGGAAGCCAGAAATTTCCCCTCAACTATATATTTATTTGTTATTGTTTTATTAGATTTGTATACATTCCTTTTTCCTCTTCCAACAAACCCATGAGTTCGGTAATGGAACTCAGAGAAGCCACATGTATTCAGCCTCAGTTCTTCCTCCATACACTTAAGAGATAATAATTTCACCTATGTTATATGGCTGTTGTGCAGATTAAAGTAAGATAATAGATGTGATACACTTTGAAAAGTCTAAAAGTAGTACATAAATAATTTCCTTTTCTTCATAATTCCATATTTTATTATTACTCATACTTTTTATTCAGCTTTCTCTCATAAAGTCTTGTTTTAAAAATGTATAACACACACCATAAAATTACAATAGCCAAGGTAATGTTTTGTTACTTTTAACTAAAAACATAATTAAAAATACTGGGTTGTATCCAATATCAGTATTATTTATTCTGGCTGGATAGTATGTTTCCCTGTTGACCTTTCAGCACTCCTAATCTAGGTTTGAATTTCCCTTTTAATCCTTGGATTAAAAGGGAAATTGGAAGAGGTTTTTTCTCCCTTTTGCTTATAAATATAGAGATAGGAGCTACAGGCTCTAAAGTTATACTGACTAGATAAGAATCCTCTGAGAGAACTGGGTGAGCCCTATAGGAAAACAGAACTACTGAAAATTAGGACAGTATAAGTATAAAATTCTTTATTACAGTGGGCCTATAGGCATAGCCAATAATGAAATACCTGTCTCCAGAGAAATGTGAGCTGCAGACCAAGGGAACAGGAAGTATGCAAGTGCTGTTAAGACTGAGGCATTAAAAACTACCCAGTAGAGACAGGAAAAGATTAGTTACTTACAGAACATAGAAAGATGTTATGCATATAATTCTGGACACTAAACTCAGAACTATGTTCTGCCCTCTTATATTACTCTATAAAGAATAATCATTTATGCTGATGATGCTGTAACTATCATAATCTCCAGTTCTGCCATGCAATCAACCTGACAGAAGCTTTGGGTTATCCCGCCCTGACATAAAGTACCGCCAAAAAGAAGAAAGCTACAAATCACAGTTCAGGATTGCCTAGTTTAAATCTCTCTTCAGCCACACATTCACCAGGTGCGCTTCATCATGCCACTCTGCCTCAGCCCTGCATATGGAATACGGGGAAGTTACACCGACCTACCTGACAGAGGTGCTGTAACGCACGTGAGGCACTTTTAAAAACACTATCTAAAAGACAGTCGCTACATGCTGCTATTAACTGCCTTGGTTAGCGATCTCCCACCTGCGTGCGTACACCAGGAGGGCCAGGCTGGCCAGCACCGCCAGCAGGTACACGTTGGTGGCCTCATTCCAAGCCTCGTGTACCGAGTAGTCCATGGCGGCGGCGGCCGCACCACCCCCGCCACTTTCGCCCAGTGTCCTACTAGCCACCATGGTAAACACAACAAACAGCGAGGCCGGCACAGGAAATGGGAACAGAGAGCGAAGGGCTGGCGTCACATCCTGTGCGAAGCGGAAGGCCTTGGCTGGCGATTCTCTACTTTCAGGTGTGTTCGTGGGTGCTGCCGTGGAATCGAAAGCCTTTCTTAGAAAGTGAGGGTAGAGCGGGGATCTGAGGCACTATTCTCTCTTCCTCTCTCACCATTAGACAAAGGTAGCAGCAAATACAGGAATTTACTCTGCTCTTTCGTCAGTTCATTTTTATTGTTGGAAAATGTGATATTTTGGACATTTCGAAGTGCTTGCGGGCAAGTCAATGCATGAATGGGCCTTGAACGGGGTCTGACTGGACAATATCGCTCGACTGACCTTTGCATTTCGTGGCGGGAATTTTGGAAGCAACGGTCGGCAACATCTTCCCCAATTATATAGAGAGTTGGTATTAGCAATGCGATTCTTTGTTTTAAAACGGGAAATATTATTCATTGGTCATATTTTCCATACAAGATAAGCCTTCGGGTCAAAAAAGATGAATGTCTGCCTTTGCTACAACCATATAATTTGGGGTCTCTATGATAAAATTCTGGATTCCTCAATTGTTTTCTATTGCTAACGCTTCCATCCGGGGGTGAGGGGTGGGTAGAAAAAGTTCAATAGGACCATGGAAGTATAAACTAATATGGGCAACAGGATTGTCTCTTAGTCAAGACAAAATAAACGAAAGTGCTACCATAATATGGTTGTTTAAAAGCCTTCCATTGTACAAACAGCTTTAGACTTTTAAGGTAATTACTTGCTTTTTTCGTATACCTCCCGTACACCTTAGATATGGTAATATGCTTTTCTTGAAAGGTCTTCCATTGGAGGCACACAAACATGCTAATACTGTCCTGAAGATTCTTCTTTTTGTGTTGTATTGTTTTAATCTAGTCAACTCTGTTTACTCTTATGTGCTCCTAGCAAACTACCTACATAATCCTCCTCCCCCAAACTGTGTATGTAACTGATGGATTATAAAAGTATCTTGTACAGACTCCCATCTTTGTAAGTCCCTTCAGTAACTACCTACATGCTGCGTGAATATCCTGTATGACTGAATAAATTTTTATTTTGATTGTACCTACGCTTTCTGGTTTTTCTGGTCACACCCTAACCTTTTCCTATACCTGGATGGAAGCTTGGAGGCAGAGATTCTCTATTTTGATACAAACACACAATCCTGGCCATCTTTTTATGGGGTGATGAGGGTGGAAGCTTGATGTATTTTCTGTTGGATTTCCAAAACAGTCACTAAGGGCACAATCCTATGCATGCTTAGACAAAAAAAAAAAACCATACTACTGCAAACACTCCCCAGATGGCATGTTAATATAACTTTTTTCCTATCTAAGCACACATAAGATTGTGTCCTAACAAGAATAACAAATGCATCCAACTTCAGTGCCATCCTGTTACCTGGAAGAAAACTTACAGTAGGGAGAAGGATAGGAATGGGTGTTAGCCTGGAGTTGCTTGCTCAGCCTATGCTTTTACCCTGCTTCAGGAGACAGGACCCTTCCTTTTCTTATGCATTTACCTGGCTGAGGTCATCTTTAGGCTGAGCACTGCCACTTAGCCAATCTATTCAAGTAGTAAATTGTCCAAATGCCTGAAGAAATCTCTGAGACTCCATCTCAGGGCTGCAGAGGAGTTATTACTGGGCAATCAGCAGATGCAAACAAGAAATTTTTCTGAAATTTTCCCCTTGCTTTGGAGTTGTGGGGGCGATGCCAAAAGAGATATATTCTACTGAGAAAGGAAGTGTGGGAGACTTTTCTGACATGGGCATCAGGAATAAATCTCCCTGGAAGCGTGGAAGCTTGAGGTAGGCCCAATTTAAATTGCCCGAGGTTTCTTTACTATAGGCACTCAAGTGCTGCTATTCTTTAACCAAAGGGTGCAAGGGAAGACATTATTCCCTTGAGATACCAGGAAAATTTTGCCACAGCCATATTGAAGTTTGAGGGGACCAGGCAGGCAGGCAGCCTAGCACAGAGTTGTGCTAGCTAGGCAAGCTTTTTTTTCTTTTGTTTGTCCTTTGTACAGATTTACTGCCTTGTGCCCAGAATCTAAGCATCCTTTTTTCCTACTCTATTTTTCCCCTAAATCCTTTATAAGTATTTTACTCAATGTTCACTAAAAAACAGACTGTGTACTTGGGGGGCGGGGTGAGTGCAGCCTAGCTAAGGACACAGATAGGCAGCATAGAATCCCAAGATAAAGGACCCCAGTGGGATACTTAGTTATTCCCAAAGGATTGTTTGGGGATTAAGGAAACTGTGGAAAAGTGATTTAAAGGTGAAACAGAGCAATTCTATTCAGGTAATATAGCGGAAGTTATAGTAAATGATGGTGTAAATGAGCAAATATCCCTAGGCTGAGGTACTAGACAAGGATGTCCCCTTTCTCCAATATTGTTTGCTTTAGGCATAGAACTACTAGCAAAGAGTATTAGGAATGATAATATAATAAAAACTATAGGTTTTGAGAATGAGATTAAGGCTAGCTTATTTGCTGATGATACTGTTATCAATAAGGGATCCATTAGAAGCTATGGATCAGGTTTGATTAGTCCTAGAAAATGAAGAGATAGCAGGTTTAAGGATAAATCAGAGATGATGTTATGTAATAGTGATAAAGAAGAGGAAAAAAGAGTAAATTTAAAATTAAGTATCTGGAGTTACCAAGTATTTCGAGTTAGAATGTTTAAATAAATAACAATTTAAATAAATTAAAAACAAGGTAAAGAAGATTGGATTATCTTGGTTTGTAGAATAGGCTTATGTAAAATGAAAATATTGCCTAAGATTTTTTTTTATTTATGATGTTACCAATTAAGATAGCAGATAAAAGAATGGCAAGTCAGAAAATCCTTTTCTTAAAAATACTTTACATATTTGGAATAAATATAGGGAAAAATGTCTTCAGTCTCACCATTATGTCAAATTATTGAATTAGAAGGGTTTCCATCAAATCTGAGAGAGGTTTTAAGGAAAATATTAAAGAATAAGCAAATAATTACATTATAAGTTTGGCTAGATAAAATGTGGAGATGAAAGCAATATGAGGAAAGGAGATAATAATTTGGTATAATGTGATTCAATTTGAATGTTGAACTAAAGAATGGAAAAAGAAGAGAGGAAAAGAGACTGATGCAGGGATTATACAAAATCTGAGGGTATGATTATAGAAAAGGAAGAATAAGAGAATATGCAGATGAAAGGGATAGTAAGTAAAATTTATAAGATATTGTTAGAAGAAGAAAATATGATTCATTGAAAGCAACTTGGGAAGCAGATCTGAGGAAGAATGTTAGTAATGAAGATTGGGAAAATGTTTGGGTGAAGAGGATATTAAAATGTATGTCAGTAGGAATAAAGGGAATTTTTATACAATTCTATGGAAGTAGTGCCTAACTCCAGTGAAACTGAATTGTATAGATAACAATTATTATAATTTATGTTGAGGATAAGTTCATGGAGTAGGTACATATTTCCATATGTGGTAGAAATGAGAATATGAAATTTTGGAAAGAGGTCTTTAATGTAGTAAAATACTAAATTTAAATATAGAAATATGCCCTGAGATTGCATTATTTTCAATATTTGATAAGAAACAATGGAATTGGAATGATAAGGAATTAATAAATTTAATAATAGCTATAAGATTAATCATAGCTAAGAATTGGAAAGTAATATATGATTACCAATTGTATGATTGGTATACAGAAATTTGGAATATAACTATTAATGATAAGTTAATAATAATGTGATATTAAAGTGAGAAAAGGGCATATAAAGAAAAATAAGTATAATGAGATTTGGTGCACATTTATGTGTATGTGTTTTAAAAGGGAAAGGATTTGAACCATCAAAAGAATCATTGCACATTTAGAAGGGCGAAATGTCCTTCCAAAGAAATTTTGAATAAGTTCTCTCTCTGTAACATGTATCCTATGGTCCTAGTGGTGGGGGGCACAGTATTTTTAAGAACTATTTTAATTGTATATTTAATTCTATATGTTGTTATTTAAGATGTAGTGCTGGTTTGGTTGTATATTGGATTGAAAATTAATAAAAATATTTTTAAAAGACACCAGTTGCTAGCAATTCTTCAGTTAAGGGTGCAGGACATGCCTGGCTGGCTGGCATTAAACACAGCCTAGTCAATTCTCCTGCAATGCTGAAGCAATTGGAGCCAAGTCAGAGACCAGGATTGCAAAATCCCTTGCTGCTCCAAGCCTCAACCTCCCAGGGAGGAGGGAGGAGAAGAAAGAGTAAGTAATACCTCGGTTCACGAATGCTTCTGTTCATAAACAGTTTGGTTTGCGAACAGAAAGTTTGGCAAAATTTTGCTTCCACTCGCGAACTCTGCATCGGGTGATGAACATGACTGCGGCCATCTTCAGCTCTCTCGGGCTGCAGGAGAAGCCCTAGATGACGCTGTGCTGCCCGTCAAAAGGGAGCACAATACACAAGGGAGCCATGAGGGCACTCTTGCCTCAGTTGAGGCCTTCCCAACTCCTCGCCACTGCCCTGCTTCTGAGCCAGAGGAAGGTCCCCTTGCAGGCACTTGCCCGGCTCCGGGAGGGGGAGGGGGAGCTGGGTGCGGGACGGCTCCCCTGGCTGGGAGAGGGCCGCAAGGAGGGGGGTAATGGCTGCTTTCCTCAGGCCGAGGCAAGGGATGGGGCTGTGGCCGGCTAAACAGGGTGTCTTCCACCTCTCCCTGCCACGGGAGGAAGAAGCATGGTGGCTTCTCAATGGTGGCAGCAGCTTGCCCTGAGAAGGCTACGGCAGAGGCGTGGGAGCCATGGCCCCGCTCCCACTTGGACCGACTGCCCCTGGGCTCAGTGAGTTGGCTGCAGCTTGGCCTGCAGCCTGTGGACATGGTTCACATTTTTATGGTTTAAAAAAAAAAGACATTTTTAAAAACTTTTATATGCCATCCTTTATATATAACATAAAGTTGT